TTGAAGCCCAGAGGAGTTAAGCAACTTTTCTAAGGTCACACAGTGAGTAAGTGGGTGAACTGGCATGAGAGCCCATGCTGAGCCAGTGTTCTGTTGACTAAAGCCTACTATGTTCAGTGGTTCACCTCTTCTTTTGGCACAACATGACTTCAAAAATTAAAAACAGAGAAACACAGGTCTGAAAAACACAGATAAAAACGAGGCAATGCTATTTAAAATTTATGAAGAAAGCAAGGGATGTCAGATACTTCTCTGCTGGTTGTGAAAACATCAGCGCTGTGAAGTCCAGTGAGACAGCATTCCAAATGTCTTTCCTTTTTGTCTATTGTCAAGAACCTATATTTAACAATGATACTCTACACGCCAGCAAACAGTAAGCACAAGTCCTACAGGCTGGCAGTTGGCAATCCCTGGTCCACATGCCAAAGATGCTGCAGCTGCCAATTTCAGGCGGCAAAGAAACTGACTGCAACGTACAAATTTCCATCCCTATCATTTCCAGTAGTTATTGCCTACAATTGTCTCCACCCTCTCATCGGAGTTTTCAAGAGCAACACCCTAACGTGACTTCCTGTGTAGCACCAGTACCATCCTGGCCTTCTGGAGTCACAGGTTCTGTCATTTGTCACACTCCTGTGAGAAGACAATGACTATGGACCCCTATGATAAAACATACATAAGCATTCCAGCATTTTTAATAGTAATTGCTAAATTTCTATCCAAAATTGTTTCTTTTTCTCTCTGTGATCCTAGAGCAATCGCACGTTCTTGATTATTAATATCTACTGCATAAGAATATGCTAAGAGGATGAATTGGACTAATCAAATGCATGAGATATCCAACCTTAAAAGAATAGGCTGGACGTAGTGGCTCACACCTGTAATCCCAGCACTTCGGGAGGCCCACATGGGTGGATCCCTGAGGTCAGGAGTTCAAGACCAGCCTGGGCAACATGGTGAAACCCTCTCTCTACTAAAAATACACAAATTAGCCAGGCATGGTTGTGCATGCCTATAGTCCCAGCTACTCAGGAGGCTGAGGCAGGTGAATTGCTTGAAACTGGGAGACAAGTTGCAGTGAGCCAAGATTGGGCCGCTTCACTCCAGACTGGGTGACAGAGTAAGACTCCATCTTAAAAAAAAAAAAAAAAAAGAATAAAGGGTAACACATCCCTGGGCCTATATGATGTGAGTAGAAATTTGAACACAATGAACACTATGAACAGGCCGTTACCAGCCATTCAAGAGAGGAACATCAGGAGGTCTTCTGCAAGGGAGTGCCTCAGAGTTTATTTATAGCCAGACTGCCTGGTCTTGAATCGTGTTTCTACTACTGAATAATTTAGTGACCTTGGATAAATGAATTAATTTCACTAAACTTTATTTTCTCCATTTAATGTTAGGATAGCATTAGTACCTAACTCCACAGATTTGATGGGAGAATTATATTAAAGCATTTTATGCAATGCTGACCACATAGTAAATGCTCAATAATTATCAGCTACAATTAAATTTCTATCGTACTATAACCTAAAATTAGAGGGATTTAAAGAAGGTTAGAAATCAGAAGGTGGCTCAACACTGAGAGTTTGGAAATGAGGTCAACAGATAGTTAAAGTGTCCTTGTGTATTCCATATGGTTTTTTGTGAGTAGTCACTCTGTGCTAGGAATGTATAGGTGTAAAGAGATGACCCAATGCTTGTCCTTTGTGGAGAGATGAATGAAGCATAATTGAGACGTGTACTGTAAACTCCAGGTTGAGGATTACAAAAAGTTGGAAACCAAAACCCAAAGCTGAATTCCTTAGCCTTGGGAGAAGTCTCCTGTTTTTTTCCAAGTGAATGGGCTAGGGCCAGGTTCAAAGAGAGAGCGGCTCCCCAGAAGCCTTTGCCAACTGACTCACAGAGGTTCCCTGAGTCTGGGCCACAGCTCCTGCTCCTTTCAGCCTGTGCCCTCCAAGTCTGAGTGGCCTCCTATGCCTCTAGAAGGGACATGGGGAAGCCACGAGGGCAAAGGTTTAGGTGACCTACCAGCACCAATGCTATTCCTGTCTAAAGAGCAATTTTGGTTTCCGATCAGAAAGTTTCCCCAACAGAATTAAAATAACGTCTGACATCATGGTAATAATAACAGTTTATCTTATGTTCACATAGCACTTTTAAGTCTTCAAAAATAATGTGTCCATTTGCATCTTGCTCGTGGTTTTCAGTGGCACTCTGGGGTGTCCTAAACAGCTTTCATATGCACAATTTACAGATGAAGGACTGAAGCTTGGGCAGTTTGAGGGACTTCTCTGGAAAGAACACAGCTAGCAAATGGTAGACCTGGAACTAGACCCAGGGTCTCAGGTACGTGCCTCATGTATTTAATGGCTAGGCAGTGTCTTGGGCTTCCTGGATGCCTGGGCCAATCCTGAGAGAGCACTCACACACAGAATTTAAGGTCCATACCCGCAACTTCCTGAGCAGTGTTTCTGCACACCATGATTTCCTGCTGCTCCTCTCTTCCCTTGAGACCTACCCCTGGAATTAGAGCTTGTCACTTTCGTCCTGCCATTTGACTGTATCCACTCCCAGTGTTGGTTGCAATGCAATATTCAGCATCTGTCATGAAACTAAACAACCATTAAAAAACTGTATTCAGCAGTAATGGAATTATACATTGTATATCCAGTTAGGTAATTTTTAAAAATTAAACTAATTAATTATTTTATCATTATTACATTTTTGGAGACAAGGCCTTAGTCTGTCACCCGGGCTGGAATGCAGTGGCACAATCACAGCTCACTGCAGCCTCAAAATCCTCAAGTGATCCTCCTACCTCAGCCTCCTGATGAGCTTGGGCTGCAGGCACATGTTGCCACACCCGGCTAGATAACTTACAGAAACACTTTCTAATGTTCTTCAATTGATGAATCATCAACTTAAAACTGCAGCGTCAACCTCTTTAATCCATTGTTTTCGGTTTCACCATCCTGCCCATCAAGAAAGTGGCTTCTCCTCCATCTCTGACCCTTAAAGTCACAGTCCCTTCTTGCTACCTACCTCATCTTGTTTCACACACCAGTATAAAAAATGCTGTTTTTGTTTTTTGGTCACAGTTTTAAGTGCTTTTCTGTCTGGATCCCAATGCCTATCTCCGACTAGAGATGGAAAACTGCCTTTTATCTCTCCTCCTCTTTCTTCTCCTTTGGAAATTTCACAGTCTCTTTGGTTTTTATATAATGGTTATGATTATGGGTTCTGCAGTCATATTGCCTAAGTTTGATTCTGGACTAGGTACTTATTAGCTGGGAGCATTGGTTAAATTATATAATCTCTCTATAGCTCTGTTTTCTCATCCAAAAGTAGTAATAATAGTCTCTACCTGATAGGGTTTTTATGAGGACTTAAAGGGCTTATACTTGTAAGGTTCTTGGAATAGTACTTCACGAAGCGCTCAGGTTGTGTGTGTGTGTGTGTGTGTGTGTGTGTGCACGCGTGCGCATGTGAGTGTTGTATGTGAACTAGAGATGTCTTTCTTCAGGATCTCACCACCCAAAACCAAGTATAGCTCTAAACTAACTCTCAGATCTCAGCAAGAACAGCCTCCATTCCCACCCTTTTTGTGTTCTGTGTTCCTCTGAATCTCTTAACCTCCTTTGCAGCCATGCCCATAGGACTCGTCAAACAGGATAAAAAGCCTTTCGTAAAGAATCTCTGACACCAGTGGCCTCATCATTGCACATTCTAGAATGAGAAGGAACCCACATTCACCAAACATCTCCTACATTAGGATTGGTTAGATTTATTCTTAATTTGAAATGTCGCTAAGAGTGTCCTACATTGACCTGGTTAAACAGAGAAAGCTTGGGAGCCAGATTGTTTGGGTGTGAGTCTAACATTTTCCATCTACTTAAAGTTTACATCTATAAATGGGGTGATAATGGGAAATGGATTGACTATAATGATAAACCGAGGTTATCTCTATAAAGTCCCTCTCAATGTGCAGTGGATGGCACAGAGTAATTTCGAATAATGCTAACTATTACCATTATTATTAAAACCCTTTTTTCCATTGAATTATCTCTGCGTGGGGCTTTCCATTCATCCCCAGCAATGAAAAGTTGTGTGGTGGTACTTGCTAACTTCCTCTAAGTGAAGACTATGTGCTTATTCAGAGAAAATCACAGACAGTTCCGTGGAGGAGGCAAGAATAGTAGAAACAAATGACCATTGCAATCTCGGCAGATTGGAAAGTGGATTTTGTTGTGTGATTGCTTCAGATTGCCAGATGAATGTTTATGGATTCACTGTCTCTGACAAAAGAAATTGTCAGACCTGTGAAACCCCATCTCTACTAAAAATACAAAAAAATTAGTTGGGCATAGTGGTGAACACCTGTAATGCCAGCTACTTCGGAGGCTGAGGGAGGAGAATCACTTGAACCCAGGAGGTGGAGGTTGCAGTGAGCCGAGATCTCGCCACGGTACTCCAGCTGGGGTGACAGAGTAAGACTCCGTCCCCCCCCGCCCCCAAAAAAGAAATTGTCACATAGTTCGTAGGATATTATAAAAATCAATTTTTCTCCAAGCCGAACTAGGCATTTAGGTACATTTACTACTTATAAGAGAGGAAGTGCAATTGAGGGGAAATATCCAAATGTGGATGAAAGTGGATGGAGGTATCAATGGGATCGGGAATCTCTGCCTCTGGTTGTATTTTTTTAAAAACTTTTTATAGATATGACTATATTGGTAACAACTGCTGTTCTACTACTACTGAGCATACCTGAGTAAGTCAGAGGTAGAGTGACTTTTAAATTTCTGGATTCTAGAGTGTACAAAATAATTTTTTTCCCAGCATTCTCAACTTAATAAGTAGTTAAATTAAAAAATGTTAAGTATAACAAATGCGTTAAAAACTAAATACTTCCCAAGCAGGAAAAAGGAATGCTTTGCAGAATCTGTTGGTTCATTCAGTCTCAGATATAAAGAGAGTAGTGAATGTAGATGGTATTTGGTACCATGATTCCAGGAGATGACTAAGGCTGGAGATTCAAATTTAACACCTGTTAGGAATGACTTTCCTTGCACAATGCTCTCCTCAGGGCACCCTTGACCTCTGCATTCCTAATGCTGTAGATCAGGGGGTTCAGCATCGGGTTGAAAAAACTGTAAAATAGAAAAAGGACCTTCTGCTGCTCCTCAGGATGGCGGGACTTGGGGGCCATGTACATGACAATGGCACTGCCAAAGAAAAGTCCCACCACGCAGAGGTGGGAGGAGCAGGTGGAGAAGGCCTTTCTGCGGCCCTCCCCAGACTGGATCCTCAGGATGGCCGCCAGGATGTGTGAGTAGGAGACCAGTACCAGGCAAAGTGGCCCCACCAAGATGAACACGGAAGCAGAAAAGATGGCCACCTGGTTGAGCCAGGTGTCAGCACAGGCCAGCCTGAGGACAGACAGGATTTCACAGAAGTGGTTGATTTCATGAGGCCCACAAAAGGGCAGTCTTAGGATGAGGCTCACATGGACCAGAGCCAGGAGGGAGCCACACACCCAGGAAGTGACAGTCAGGGTGATGCAGACTCTCCAGGTCATGATGGCAGAATATCGGAGAGGGTGGCAGATGGCCACGTACCGATCACAGGACATTACCACCAGGTGGAGACATTCTGTCTGTGCAAAACTCAAAAACAGAAACATCTGCGTCATGCAGCCAGCAAAGGAGATGGGCTTGGCTGGAAGCAGGAGGTTCACCAGCATCTGGGGCACCGTGTTGCAGGCGTAGGCGATGTCGACGATGGCCAGGTGTGAGAGGAAGAAGTACATGGGGGTGTGCAGTCTGGAGTCCAGTGAGATGAGCCCCAGGATGGCCCCGTTCCCCAGTAGGGCAAAGATACAGAACAGGGAGAAGAGCCCAAAGAGGAGCATCTGAATCTGTGGGCTGAGGGGAAATCCCAGCAGGAGGAACTCTGTGACCATTGTCTGATTTTCCCCTATTTCTGTGAAAAAGAAATAGGTCTCTTAGGACCAGATTGTCAAGAAACACCTAGACATTATTTTATGAATTTAGTCATTTTTAAAAGATAAACTTTTAACATCAATACTTAGCTACACATTAAGTTAATCACTGATTGTAAATATCCAATGTTACAGAAGGGATTGTGTCAACAGTGACAGGATACATAGAGCTATTAACACATCATGGGAAGAAAGAATGTCATACCAAAAGTGGAAGTAAAATGACCATCTAATAAGGATTGTTTTGAAGCTGCATATATAAAAATTCCTACAAGAATTCCTGATGTTTAGAAATAATCAGTAATAGAAGAACTCCCAATATAGGAATGAGAGTAGTCCTAGAAAAAAAGATGATGTAATCCCAGTTTCTCAGTAGAAATATGATCTGTTTTGCTTTCAGCATCTGAAATCAACCTTTGCATGCTGGAGCAGTTTATATAATAACAGAAGAAGCAGAAAGATAAAAAGCAACTTTAATGGCATTGTGATTGTTTGGGTTCCTAAGAAGAAACTAATGGATGTGCTACAAATGGATTCTAATTGCAATCTTTCTTTTACAATGGGTCATAAACAGGAACTAAAAATTGACGATTTGGCGGTTAATCTACTGATTGATTCACAGTTACTGATTTACCAAAAACTGGTTTTGAATAACAACTCACACAATATGTAGAAATTAGATTTTTCAGGGCTAGTTTGTACATACATATCGTTTAAAGCATTCACAATGCCTGAATGTTACGTTTGCCAATGGGTTATATTTAATTTCTTTTTTAGTCTCTCCTTTCACTTTTGCAAAGCATTTGGTAAATTTAATTCATTTGAGTTTAAGTAAGATGTTCTTTGCACTATGTAGAATGAAACAAACTATGGGGAAAAATTAAAGTATCTTTCAAAATACACCAGAAATGACCATTCATAAAAAATTAACTGTGCTTCTGCAACATAAGAATTGCTAAATACTTTACACATGGCTAACTAAAACATGTTTTTGCAAAGAGCTAATTTAGTGACTTCATTATTTTACATATTATTATGGCAATAAACTGTCAGTCAGGTAATTGGTATTTTGTGAATTGGTGATGTGCCAAATAATATTTGGGTTTCTGTCATTAAGTCCTAAGTAACATTCTCCTCAATGTACCATGTAGAAATCCAGTATTTTGCAAGAGCAAATGTTTGTCTTAGTGCCAATGCTACGCAGCAATAAACTGAGGCTAAGCCATTGAACCTGTATCTGCTTATCTGTAAAGAAAAATATTCTCTGGGATTCATGTAAAGAAAGGTGCTGTTTTTGATGAGACCCTGGTCCAGCTGTCATTGGAGCAAAGACATGGAATCAACTTAAATGCCCATCAATGATAGACTGGATAAAGAAAATGTGGTACATTTACAACATGGAATACTATGCAGCCATGAAAAAGAATGAGATCTTGTTCTTTTCTGGACATGGATGCAGCTGGAGACCATTATCCTTAGCAAACTAATGCAGGAACAGAAAACCAAATACTTAATCTTCTCACATATGAGCATGAGTTAAATGATGAGAACACATACGGGGCATAACACACATGGGGTCTATCAGAGGATGAATGGTGGGAGGAGGGAGAGGATCAGGAAAAATAACTAATGGATACTAGGCTTAATGTCTGGGTGGTGAGATAGTCTGTATAACAAACTCCAAGACACACGTTTACATATGTAATAAATCTGCTTTTGTATGCCTGAACTTAAAAGTTAAAAAATAAAAAGAAAGTTAAAAATCATCTAATTGGAACCTTGAAGAATGTCACCACTGGATCCTTTTCCAGTGGTAACAAATGATGGTATACTAATAAGCATTATAAATAAATTGTTGATTATTATCAGCAAGACACAAATTATATTGAATATTGCAACGTCATAACACATGACCAAGGCTTATATATTTTTTTCCAGGATTCCATAAAAAAATACTCTGATAAGCCAACCATCTAAATTTAGTTGGAAAACATTCAAAGGATATGAAAATATTTGGTTGTGCATTTGAATGTACATCTTATAAAAATATTTATTTATTTATTTATTTTTGAGACAAGATCTCCTCTGTTACTTACCCTGGAATGCAGTAGTGTGATTACAGCTCACTGTAGTTTTGACATCTCAGACCCAAGCAATCCTCCCAGCTCAGCCTCCCAAGAAGCTGGGATTATGGTGCATACCACCATACCTAGCTAATTTTTTTTGAATAAATATTTCTTGTAGAGACAATGTATTATGTTGCCCAGTGTATTATGTTGCCCAATGTATTATGGTCTCAAACTCTTGGGTTCAAGTGTGCCTCCCACCTCGGCCTCCCAAAGTGCTGGGACTGTAGGCATGAACCACTGTACACAGTCTACATCTAATGAAATTCTTAATTTCTTTACTCAGTCCTTCATTACTTCCTTTTGTAACTTCCCAAATGATTATACAAAGGAAAAAAAATCTATGCACAAGTATGAATTTCTTTGAAAGGCAAATGGAAAGTCAAGAAGAAAGGAGAGCTTACTGAAGACATTCAGATTCTTTAAGGACAGTTGCCACATGGGTTGAAACTATGATTTCTTTTGCAGGCCTGAGTTGTCAACACACTTCTTGTGAACAAGGAAAAGGTTCTCTTACGTTTGTAATTCTGACAGTAAATATTTATTGTGTGAACAAATTAATAAATGCAAATGAATAAATGAATGCATAGTAGTTTTTTTTTTTTTTTTGTAACCATTCTTGGACTAAATCTGGAATGCTTGATACAAAGAACATCTTCCTTAAACTGAAATGGATTAAATTTACCAAAGGGTTGATAAAAGTGAAAGGAGAGACTAAAAATATATATATGTATATATATATATATATATGTGTATCTAGATCTATATAAACCCCGTTGCAAATATAACACTCAGGCATTGTGTATACTCTCAAATCTTTTGGCTTCCCTGGGCCACACTGAAAGAAGGCATGGTGGTACATGCCTGTAGTTCCTATGTTGCCCAGGCTACTCTCCAACTCCTGGCCTCAATAATTGTCTTGGGCCTCACATAAAATCCACTAACAGTGGCTGACAAGCTTAAAAAAAAAATCACGTAATGTTTTAAGAAAGTTTTTGAATTTGTGTTGGGCCACATTCAAAACTGTCCTATGGGCTGCAGGTTGGACAAGCTTGCTTTAAGTGAGAGATATATATATATATGTTAACCATTAAAAAAATTGGCAAGTTATTTAGTGACTAACAAATTAACGGACATCTCCATGGTTTCTAAGTAAATATGTTAAGACTGAAACCAGTTCTTTACACCTGACCAAACCTGTCTACTTCAAAAAGTAAAACTTAAGATCTGATGAGCTGACAAACTCCTAATGAGTCACACAACATTGTTAAAATGAAAGCTATTTTTAAATCTTCAAGTCAAATAAAATTTCAGATGGTTTACTTCCAATAATCAGAAATATTTGAGGCTGGATGCAGTGGCTTATGCCTATAATCCCAGCCCTTTGGGAGGCTGAGGCAGGAGGATTGCTTGAAGCCAGTAGTTTAATACCAGCCTGGGCAACAGGGTAAAACTCTGTCTCTAAATAAAAAGTAAAACAAAAATGAAAACAAACAAACAGTAGCTGGGCATGGTGACACATGCTTGTAGTTCTAGTTCCTTGGGAGGCTGAGGCAGGAGGGAGTTTGAGGTTGCAGTGAGCTATGATAGAGCCATTGCACTTCGGCCTGGGAAATAGAGTGAGACCCTGTCTCAAAAAGAAAAAGAAAAAGAAAAAAGAATATTTGTTACAACTAATAACACTCATAACCCTCTTTTTTTTAAAATATATATTTGAGACAGTCTTGTTCTGTCACCTAGGCTGGAGTGTAGTGGCGCAATCGTGGTTCATTGTGACCTCAGCCTTCCCAGGAACTGGTGATTCTCCCACCTAACCTCCCCAGTAGCTGGGATTACAGGTGTGCTGCACCATGTCTGGCTACCTTTTTTAAAAAACTTTTTTCACAGATAGGGTCTCACTATGTTGACCTGGTCTCAAATTACTGCCCTCAAGCAATCCTCCTATCTCAGCCTCCCAAAGTGCTGGGATTATAGACATGAGCCACTCCACCCAGCCTCAAATATTCTTATTACTTGGAAGTAAACCATCTAATACTTTATTTGACCTGAGGATTTAAAAATAGGTTTCATTTTAAGAATGTGATGTGACTCATTAGGAGTTTGTCAGCTCATCGGATCTTAAGTTTTGCTTTTTGAAGTAGACAGGTTTGGTCATGTGCAAAGAAATGATTTCAGTCTTACATATTTACTTAGAAATCATGGAGATGTTGGATAATTTGTTAGTCATCAAATAGTGTGCTAAATTTTTAAATGGCTAACTGTTACATATATATCATTTCAAGCATACACAATGCCTGAATGTTATGTTTGCAACTGGGTTATATTTAATTTTGTTTTTAGTCTCTTTCACTTTTTCCAATCCTTTGATGAATTTTATCCATTTGAGTTTCAGTAAAATTTTCTTTGTATCGTGTATAATGAAAGAAACTATGGGGGTGGGTGGAGAAATAGAAATGTCTTTCGAGTATACAGATTATATTTGGCAAGATTTAAGAAAGCCAGAAATTCCAGATTCAGTCCAAGGATGGTAAAACAACAAGAACAAAAATAAAACAACAACAAAAAATTCATTCAAAAAGCATTCAATCATTCATTTGACTTATTGATCTAGTAAGTGATTTAAAAGGTTAAATACATTTGACCATATATTGTGCATGGTAGGCGTTCAATAATTATTTATTGACTAACTAGATATCAATTTGATTAAATATGAAGAAGCAAAACATTAATGAGCCCTCCACATTCTGCTGTGAGTCACGTTCTCAGGCAGAGTAAACAATGAAAGAAACTATAAAGAGCAATTAAAGAGCCATGGGCTCAGTGGTCAGATGCACATTTATTAGTTATATGACCTTGAGTATGTATCTTAACCTCTCCAGGTTTGTTTCCTGTTTTTTTTTTTTTTTGTTTGTTTAAAGGAGAAAAGTGATAGTACCTATTTTATGAGACTGTTATGAAGAATAATTGAGATGATATGTGTAATACATTGAACATATTCCTGGTATGCAGTGAACACTCAATAGCTGAGATCAATTATTATTAGTCTTTAACAATTTCTTGGGTAGCCTGTGATTGTATGAACCTGCCAAGCATTGCCTCTTCATGGTTCACAATAATCCTTAAAACCATTTACTGTATTGTCCATGATCCTCTAAAGCTGATTTTGTAGTCTTGATTATAGCAGTGTCAGTCAACCTGTTAATTTTATGGATGATGTATTCTTAATGTATTTAAATTTAACATCGATGTTTATAACTTTGTTGCTTTCATGCAGTTACTTCTCCATCATATAAAACAAAACTAGCTTAATTATTTACTTACATTATTTGTGATATAGTCAAAGAAGTTAGCATGTAAGTTTTCCTCAAACTATCCCCATAGCAGAAAAATAATCAGCACATATTTAGAGAGGAGTGAATTTCCTTACCAACGTTTGTAGTAGATGTGAGTTAACCAAGACTAGGAGCTAAAACATGTCTAGGAGGAATTCATGGTAAAGTAAGCAAAGGCAACCTGGTTAGCTCCCACATTTGGACTCAAGGATCTCAGAAGTAGGAAGCACCTGAAGGTTCCTGGGAGTTTCTGTGGGAGCTGCAGAATCTTTGCTTCTATTTCTGATTGAAAATGTATCAGAACCCTCAGCAAAGGTGATGTTATTCTCTGATGGGCTCAACCTGGTTAACAGCTGAGGGATCACTGGAGGAACTGGGCCATGAAACCTCCTTCATGCCCACCTCCTTGGGGAAGGAGGAACAAGGCAATTGTCTTTTTCTATTTCTGTTCTCAACCCCAGCGGGATGAACAATTAAGAAACACAGATAGCCACAGAGCACACCTCTGAGACAACATCTCTCATGACAGTCCCGGAATGCTTGGATTTCATGAATCCCAGCACTGCCCTTGTTCTGTAGTCTCCAGATGGTTCAAGTGAGCCTGTCAGGAAGCAGGACCAGTGTGACAATGAATAAGCTCCTGGCGGGCACCTCTGTAGCTCAGCCTCTTCCTAATGTAATCTGGGTTACTTGTATTGCAGCAGAAGTGGGAAGAAAGGACCCTGAAAAGTTAACCAATTCCAAGTGACCCTCTGAGGTGCAGACATGCTTTGGGGAGCTGGTGAGGGAGGCACAGAGCAGATTGGGGAGTCCACGGAAGGGCCAAGGTGTCCCAGTGGGGCTTATTAGAGCCTACCTGAAGGGAGGGTCTCCTAGGGCACAAACCACCACCGTAGATCATGTCTTAGAATTATTCTCTAATCTTTATTCTGAAAGGGGAGAGTGCTGGATTTGGAGCACACCTCAGGAAGAGACACGACCCTCTCCAAGGTGGCTTCACTAGAAGCTACCACTTCTCTCTGGAGGGTGGAGATATTTGCCAGTCAAAGGTATTCTCATGTTTATTTCTATTTCTTTCTTCTACTGGATATAGAAGGATTATGAATTTTATTTGAAGCAATTATGCAATTTACAATCTAATGAGCTTATTACAATGTCAACTTTGATCTGCTGGGGTTATGGAGTAAACCCAAAGAAAATCTTGCACACGTAATCAGGGTGTGAGAACATGCTCACCTGTGTTCCAACTGTACATATCCACAGTGAATTGCTTTGGGGACACACAGAAATGCTCCTGGTCACATGAAAAGTCCAGTGCCTAGTAGGCCATCCATAAACATTAGAATCTTTTCTTCTTTCCTTTTCTTTTCACACCCTGGTAAAGTGCAACTGATATAAATGACAAAAAGCCTGTGAAACTGTAGACAAAAAGCTCTACAATTCTAGAACTTTTTTCTATATTCATCACCATATGAACATCAATTATAAAAAGTCATTTTAAGGTAGAAAACAAAAAATGTGAGTTAAAACAAGTTAAATAGGAGATTTTTATGATGCCAAACAAACTAATTTAGGAAACACATCACCTCAAAGTACGTATTTCATCACATATCGAGTTGAAGCAGGTTTCACTTCTAAAAATAGTCAGAATAAACATATACAAATTATAAAGTTATACCAAGGAAAGTAACACAGAACAGTCCGATCTTAATAGAAACGAATATGCTCACACGTGTTTGCATGATAAACGAGTATGCAGAAATCAGGAAACTGCTTTTCAGGAGCAAGTAGTAAACAGAAAGCTCTGTGAAGAATGTCCTTAGGGAATTCATTTCTTTATAACAAACACCTTAGGAACATTGGTTTAAAAATTAGAAAATAGTAAGTAAGTATAACATTTGGGAATGACACACAAACAAAAACTTAGAAAAACGCTTTAGGAACATACATATCAATAGCTATAAATCAAAATTTTCAATATTCTGTTAAACTGAGATAACTTTTATCTTGAAGAGAGTAAAAATGACACAAAAACGAGTAAAAATGACACAAAAACATAGGAAAGAACTCAGCACACACAAATGACACAGCCAATATTAACTGAAATGAGAAACATTGACTTGACTGCTAGCATTGGGCATTGGTTTTACTGGACATTTATAACGTCTATGCTTAAAGTACTTGTGGAATTTGACCACAGAGTTCATTTGAGAGTAGTACAAACAAAAGCTAACATAAGATGGGTGGACTTAGCGACCCTGCAGAGTAAATTACCATAAGAGATATTTTATAAAAGAGCAGCTAACAATGTTGGGAGAAACAGCCAAGACATAGGTAAATGTATCTTCAGGATGGCATGGCAGAAATGGAATGAGAGGAGAGTGAAAACGCTAGTGTTTTCAATTATATTTCATGAATAATTGTGAGTTTAAGGGGCAGAAGTTCATTTGAAATCCTTAGAAACAGGGAACAAAAGATAAATAATTGTAAGAACTTACTTTTAGGGTTTGTTTCAGCTGCTAGTGTCACCTTAAGTAAGACATATTCCTTAATAGATGTGGGGTCTTCTTTCCATGCATGATTGTCTCTGGACTTAACTGCCAGTTAATTCAGCTCATTTTTCTCAAGCTTTAGTTAATCATGGGTAGAAAAGACTCCATAGGGCCAGGCTGAACCTCCTCCATGCTTGGCCTTCCTGTCACTGGCTGGAAATGAAAGTCTAAAAGGCCTTAGAATGATGGGACCCTGTGATGGAAGGTGCCTGGGTCCCTGCGTCACTACATGGAAGGCTATCTCTCCTACCTGCATAGGACTTTACATGAGCAAGATGTAAACTTTTATTTTGTTAAATCACTGTGATTTGGGAATGTACATGTCGCCGTTTATCCTAAATAATACATTACTTAACATTATTATGGCAACGAGAGGAATGAGGAAGTGCTAATAACTCTAAAACTAAAGTATTAGGAACTCTTAAGATCAATTCATATTATAGAAAGCATCAAATTATGACATGAAATATTGGCTTTTTGCTTATGTCATGCAGTTGTCTTAGGGTCTGAGAAATCATGGTTTATTTTGTGTACTATTTGGTTTCTCATTCAAATTATTATTATTATTATTATTTTTTTGAGATGGAGTTTCGCTCTTGTTACCCAGGCTGGAGTACAATGGCGCGATCTCGGCTCACCACAACCTCTGCCTCCTGGGTTCAGGCAATTCTCCTGCCTCAGCCTCCTGAGTAGCTGGGATTACAGGCACGCACCACCACGCCCAGCTAATTTTTTGTATTTTTAGTACAGGCGGGGTTTCACCATGTTGACCAGGATGGTCTCAATCTCTTGACCACGTGATCCACCCACCTCAGCCTCCCAAAGCGCTGGGATTACAGGCTTGAGCCACCGCGCCCGGCTTCATTCAAATTATTTTAATTGGTAACATAGGTTAACTTCCTTAAACATTGTAGCCTAATATTGAATAATAATATAAGCAATACAAAATGATATTTTTGAGGAAATACTTTGATACAATTTAGCACAATCCAACAAAATTCTAAACTGCTTTTAATAATTGCTTAATTTAATTTTGGCTTTTACTGAACTATATGAGAGATGTGTACTGTTCTAAGATCTTAAGGGGCCAGAAGTTTTTTGAGAAAATGCTTTTTGAACATGCTGACACTAATACATGTTTCCTGTAATATTATCAAAAAACATAGAAGTGTTTATTTCTCATAGCTCCCTCGTCTTCCTAAAGCAAATTCTGTTGACTACTTAATGTGTATTATTCTAGATCGTGAAATTAAATACAGATACATGTAAACACACATGTGCATGCATGTGTACTCACATACACATATATAGGTGTATGAATTTATGTATAGCTAGGAGACTTCCATGCACAAGTGAGAATGCATTATAAAAATGTTGCTTGCTTTCTTCATTTAGCTATATATTTGATGCGCTATTTTCATTTCAGCTTATTATATATAATGCTTGTTCTATTTAATAGCTGTTTTACGTATTTTTCATAGTTTACTAATTTCAAAATTAATTTACACTTGATCTTTTGAATTTTTGAAATCAGTTTAGTATAAAATCCATGTAGCCATTTCTTTGTGCAGTTACATGTGTAAGTATTTCTGTAAAATGGATTCTTAGAATTAGTATGCATGTTTTAAATGTTGAGTAAAGAATTTTAGGTTTTTTTTTTTTTCTTGGAGTTCTTCCTTTCCTTAAAAAAATTATACTTGTAAGTTCTGGGGTACATGTGCAGAACGTGCAGGTTTGTTGCATAGGTATACACGTGCCATGGTGGTTTGCTGCACCCATGAACCCATCATCTACATTAGGTATTTCTCCTAATGCTATCCCTCCTCTGGCCCCCTACCTCCCAACAGGCCCCGGTGTGTGATGTTCCCCTCCCTGTGACCCCATGTGTTCTCACTGTTCAACTCCTACTTATGAGTGAGAACATGCGGTGTTTTGTTTTCTGTACTTGTGTTAGTTTGCTGAAACTGATGGTTTCCAGCTTCATCCATGTCCCTGCAAAGGACATGAATTCATTCTTTTTTCTGGCTGCATAGCTAAAGCAAGTTAAATATAAGATTTTTATGATGCCAAACAAACTAATTTAGGAAACACATCACCTCAAATTATGTGTTTTATCACATACCGAGTTGAAGCAGCTTCCTTTTCTAAAAATGGTCAGAATAAACATATACAAACCACAAAACTATAAGAAGGAAAATAACACAGAAAGAAAAGTCTGATCTGTGTTCTTTTCCTATGGTGTATGTTTGCCACATTTTCTTCATCCAGTCTATCATTGATGGGCATTTGGGTTGGTTCCAAGTCTTTGCTATTGTGATTTTTAAATCCAAAATTTGTGCCTATTTATATCTCCAACCACGTGTGTCATCAGCATCACATGTAACACCTTTTTCCCCTCACAATCTGTTGAGTAAAAAGAAATATCTCATCTTAAAGTAGATTTCCTGATTGAGATAGAAGACATTGCCATATTTATTGGTATCTTGTGTTTATTTTGTTGTCTGTATTTACATATTTTTGTCCATTTTTCTCATGGATTTGTGCATTACCCTTTCGGTTTTCTCATATGTGTTAAAATGTATTAGCTGCATTACTATCCCATTTCTTATGATGAAATTTCAGGCCAGTTGAAAATTCAGGCTTGTTTTTCTCAAGCTTTAGTTAATTATGGATAGAAAAGACACCACAGGTCCAGGCTGAAGGAGAATGGTATAACTTAATATAATAGTTATAGACATGGTCTTTGGCCTTTGGAACACCTAGAGAAAAGTCCTTGTGTGCCACCTAATAGCTGTGTGAGGAGTACTTAATATGTCTATGCCTTGATTTTTTTTCATGTATAAGTTGCCTATAATACTAATACTTCCCTCTGGCAATTGTTGTAAAGATTAGATTACATGTGAATTCGTATGTGTAAAACATTGTTTGATATGGAATCAACAGTACTCAACAAATGCCGGGAATTAATATTATTATATCACTTGTGCAATGCCAGCACACATGTACAGATCTGGGAAGCTTTGTAAATAAAAGTTATTCTTAATCTTTTTCAAATAGAGTAATGAAACTGTTTTTACTTCCTTAGAGAGGACAGTTAATGTGAAACGTCTTTTGCTTTATTCTCCAAGTTTTATGCCATTCATAGTTCTTACAGCATTAATATATTGAAATAAGAAATTAATTTTGTGGTTATTCTTGAATTCCTACTATTTTTGAGGCTCAGGAGTTTGTTATATTCAATTCTCAAAAATTCCATTTAATTTTGTCTCTTATATAAAAGAAAAACAACATACATTCTAGGAAGTTAATAAAATGGCATAGAATTTGAGAACTAAAAGGAACTTAACAATCATCTAGTGCAACATTTTATTTTATATGTGGGAAGCCAATGCCCAGAGGAATTAAGTGACTTCTCTAAGGTCATGCAGTGAGTAAGTGGTAAATTGGGAAAGGAACCTGTAAT